GAGGGGAAATAACCAGGAGGGAAGGACAGCTCTGGTTTGTAATGACAATGCAATATGGTAAATTAGGGGATGCCAGAGGAGAAAAAAAAACTTTAAGATGATGTTGATTTTTCTTTGGAGACACGTGACTTTTGAAATGCTCAGGGGAATCCCATAGACATATTAGCTCATTCTGTGTGTAGCTCATTGGTTTCAGATAATAGCTTTTTAAGGTTTTGATAAAAAAGAGAAGACCTGTTTCTATATCAGATACTGTTTAGCTTATAGAACTAAGATTAAATCATATCAGGATAAGGAATGGAAAATTATCTGTGAAGAAAAAAAACCTGAAATGGCTTTCTTTTCTCCTTTCCACCACAGCAGAATCAAAAGAAACCGCTGAAATTAGGGCTGGGCAGTCTCACAAATGATTTTGGTTGACTGAGTCAAAAGCTGTAGCTGCATTTGCCAGAAAATGAAAATATTACATAAGGATTGTAAAACTGCTTACACTAATTAATAGTCACAAAGCCATTGCTTGTGGAACTAGGTTTGAGGAAGTAATGCTACTGCATCCTTCCCCAGCTTCAGTAGATGTTTGCTGTATCACCGTCCAAATATTCTCTTGGGCAAGAGCTCCCTGGATCATGTTTGTTGTCCTGGGTAAACATCAGGAAAACAAAATTGCATCTCCACCCATGAAGAGAAACACCTTCTTTCCTAATCAGCTGGGACATTTTGGTCAAAACTGGTGCACACCAGTTGGGAAATTGTTTGGGGTAACAGCACATTCTCTTTTGGTTGACAGATAGATAAAATAATGATCTAGAAACCCTAGTCTCCCTTTGTTGGTGACAGAACTCTGATTATAAACCTCAGCATCTTACTGGTCATCGTACCAGTTCCTCCCAGATATTCTTGAAAGTCTTGTGAGAATAGCTTAACTGAGCATCAGAAGATCCAAGGCCCCAAGTCAAAATTCTTACGGCACTCCTACAACTGTTTCCAATTCTTGCTACTATTTTATGGTAATTTTTCTTTGCCAGGATCATGAGATGAGCACAGAAGAAAAGAAGATTGTCAACAGAAAGTTGCCCTTTCATGTTTTTCATGAGATCCGTAACTGACTTTTTCTTGGCTGGCTCCAGTCATAATCTAACCTTCTTTTACAAGGGGTTTTAGATGTTCTTGATGACTTGCAATGCTCTACCATTGATTTTAAGAAGTTAGGAGGGAGCTGGTTTAGAAAGAGTCAAATATCAGTGTCAGCAGTAAAGACTTCCTGAAGTACAGGTGGTACAAACTGTTCAAGAGTTAAGCAACAATTATATCTAAGCAATGAATGACTTTAGAGACTTGATTAAGGAAATCCTTTGGGAAAAACGATCTTATCAGCTCTCTGTTGCGGGAAAAGCAAATGCTGCCCGAAGTATTGTTTGGACTGGATCAGGAAAGCCTGAAGATAAATAACACGATTCTGGAATCAACTGAAACAATTTAGGGCAGCTCAATGAGGCATGGCTTCAACACAACATCACAGCACACATTTGAAACAGAGAGGATAAAGCAATATTTACATGATCATTATAAGTAATTATAACATCAAATAAGTTAGGTAAGTTTACTTGATATGTTTATATCACTTTCTTTTAAAATGTGAAGTAGTTTTTATTAGAAATAATTATAAACCAATACTCTAGTGTTGATGGTTCAAAGAGTCTCCCTTTGTGGTTTTTCCACGACTATTGGTACAACCAGCTTGACAGTGTGGCAGGAGATATGTGTGATGCAATCCCGTGGGAAGGGCATCTTCTGTTTTTAATTGGAGCCCTGCTTTAAAATTCATTGGAGGACATTTCCTTTTTAGACTTTGAGAACACTGAAGCTGAAAGAGAAAAGCAGGCACTCTCTCTTCACCCCAGATACTAATTGAAGACACATTATACAAACATAAACAAGTAACTCTTTTCTAAAAGAGTCAAAAATATAACCCAATCTGCATGCTGTCTTTCAAAGTTCCCTCTTTTTGTGGGTTTGGCAACCATCGGCTTGTTTTTATTGCCAACTGGGAGCCTGGGTTGGCTCAGCTGCAACCTCACTGTTTCTTTCTCTTTTAGTCTTATCTGCTCTTGTGCTCCCAAGTTTTGGTATTTTGTGATTGTATTAGTACTCTGAGAGTAGTATATTTTCTTATGGAAGAAATTAGGAGATGCGTAATGTCTTGCAGCTTAAAATGTATTCTACAGCACCATAGGCAGCTTCCTGTCACTGTATCAAAGTGCCATGTGCTCTCCTACAAGAACCTGGTCTGAGCACACCTCAAAGTTTCTTTGGAGATCTCCCCAGTCAAAATGCTGGACTCAGAACCTTAACCAAGAAAAGAGAGAAGACAGAACAGGTCAACCAAACATCTCAGCTATATCTTAGCAGCGAAATATGGGGCAAACAGAGACTCTATGATGGACTATATCAACCAGTGGATTCTTCAAAGACCTCATAGTGCTTAGAGTGTCAAGATTGGCAGCGATTCATAACTGTTGAAATATCAAAACCACCTGAGCAAGAACCTCGGAGCATACCCTACATCCAGGACCAGGGGAGGGTGGGAAATTGGGTGGGTCTTCTTCCTTAATACCCCTCTTTAAACATGAAGGAAACAATATGGAAAAAATAATAGTCTTACCCACTTTCCTGTAACCCTTGAACCTTTTTACCCTAATTAACTATGTAAAGATTGTCAATAAAAAAAAAAGAAAAAAAACTTTTAAAAAAGTGTCAGCTCAAAATCTGACATTTCAAAGGAAAATAAATACCAGATATTAACACTGTAAAAAAAAAAGAAAACAACAAAGTGCCATGTGCTCTGCTGTGGCTGTTGGCTCCCATTCCTCTCACATGCAGTTCCCTTGGTCATCTAAAAGGATGATGTGAGTCCATTAGTCCATCATGGCAGTCTCGGTAACTTCTTGAGTATTGTAAGTCCTGTACTGAAATGGACTCTGACAGTCAGATAGGGGCTGTAAAACTCTATTAGAAGGAATTCGTAGTTGTCAGCTCACTAGCCAACCCATTAATGAGTGTGTTTTCATTTACCAAGGGAACCAAGAAAGAAAGAATGAATCAGTGTTTGATAGGAAGATAAAAGAGGCACGTTCCATCTCAATTTTAGCTGAATCCCCTGGGCCCTGGAACCAGACAATAATTCCAAGCATGGGCTGCACAGCCTATGCAAGACTTGCAGAAGTGTGGACAGAATCCAATTTTGCAAACCCTTGTTTCATCAGGAGAGCGAGATGAGGAAAAAGAGGAATTGCATGTAAATTTTCCCAAATGCTTTGTACAGTTTCATCCTCGCTTTAGAACAGGTGCAGGCCCTTGCAAGAGCGACAACCTTGAAGATGAAGTTCTAGGGAGCATTAACACTAGTAGGAGGCACTGCAACTACTGCAACTAGAGATCAGCTTCAAGGTGACACAGACTCAGAAAGGAAGAGGGAGGGCAAGAGAAAGCAGGTTGCATTGGGAACTAACTATATTTCCAGTAAAAAACAAACAAACAAAAAGCAACAGCAGGTTACGTGAGTGTTTCTGGTGAAATGCAAGCAACTAAGTATATGTTCCAAGCATAATGCCAATTTGAGGATCTTCCAAGAAGATGTCAGGAAGAACAAAGAAATGTACAACAATGGATGCCAAGAGGCCAACGATGGATTGCAACTGCAGGAGAGAGAGCCTTCCCCAAGGAAGCTGTAGCCGGAAGGTCCCACGGGGGACCTCTTCAAGAACTTCACAGAGCAGTCTCAGAACAGAAAATACCATGCTCTACACTGAAAGTATATGTCTGTACAGTTAAGTAAGACCTTTCTTGCTCCAATACCCCATCTCTATTCTGGTGCAAGATGGGGACATAACAAAAAAGCCTCTTGCATCCTGCTTCAAGCTTTGGGAACTAAAGCAGGTGCAGGGAAGTGAATACTATGTGGTTATCACCAATGACTGGACAGTCTTATTTATTTGATTTTTAAGGGAGACATAGGGAAAGAGAGACAGAGAGGATTCTTCATTATGTGACTCTTCAAGAACCTGCAACAGCCAGATAGAGTTCCTGACTCCTGCATGAAGCCAGAAGCCAGGAACTCTCTTTGGGTCTCCAACATGAGTCTCAGGTGTCTAAGCATTTGGGCCATCATTTACTGCCTCCCAGCCACAATAGTAGGAAGGTGGATGGGAAACAGAGGAAGAACTACATCTTAAGAACTTGAATATGGTATGTAAGTGATTCAAGCAGCCACTTTGTCACAATGCCCATCAGAGGACTGGACAATTTCAGTACTGATAGGATATTTCTATTATGCCTGAAAGGGACTGAAGAAACCTTACTGTCTGAAAGTGACTATAAACTTAGAGAACCTACCCAAGAGTTTATTCAAGTGGTAGGGAGAAAATAAAGCACAGAGAAGTTTGAAAAGACAGAAAAAAAAGGAAAAAAGAACAGTCTTCTCAGTTTATCAACTAAGTCTATATAATTACCAGCTACAAATGAAGTCACCATGCTTCTCAGGGAAAGGGGGACAAAAGCTACTCAAAGCACAGACTCTCTTGTCATGGTTTAGATGCACCAACAGAGAGAAGTCATCTGTTCTTTTGTATCTGATTTTCAAGATGCCTCCAGTGAAGGATTGCTGTCACCTTCTTTGGATGAAATTTCTGATAGCAAGATGGGAAGCCAGTTGGGGAAAGCACATGGTCTGCAGGTTCCTGGTTCCTTGGCTGCCTTTGCCAATGACCCTAGTTTTGAAGCAGTTCCTAGTTCTGAGCCATACACATTAACTCTACTTATTTTTATTGCTTCATTTCTTAGAGCCTAAGTTATAATTACTACTTGCTTTAGCTGAGGAATGATCCTTTAATTTCCTCCTGCCATAATTTTTTTTCTTGCAAAATGAGATTGACAATGCAATTAAAACTACAATGATTTCTTTTTCAGTTAAAAGCTGTAAAAATCAAAACCACCATAAATACCTCGTGGAAATGACACCCACAGTTTCCCTGCAGAAACTCTTTATATCGTCCCATTGTTATAGTGAACGTATCAACAACCTCATAGCCGTATTTTTTTGCAGCGTCCAGAATAATCAAATTTTCCTTCCAGAGGTTCTGTACTTCACCCTGAATTGCAAAGCAGAAGAATTTGGGGTCTTGTTGGCAGAGAATTATATTACAATTGAATAACCAAGCAGAAACCATGTAAAGGCCATTTTTGCAAAACACATCGATCATGTTGTAAAATCAGGAATATCACACATATTCCTTAAATAAAGTTGTGTTTTAATTCTTCCACTCAAAACAATAAATGCAACCACTTCTGAAACACAACATATGAATACACTGACATCTACAGTACAATTTTGATTTTTTTCTTCCTTAAAACTCCTTAAATTTGTTGCCCATAAAAAATATCTAAAACTTTGTTTCAAAAAAAAAATCACCTGAGAACCTAAGAACAAACCATCTCTATGAATTTGCGTTCTCATTTAGTCAGCACCTGTTCTCTGCTTAGCCCTGGCTGGGAGACAGGACCAATAAGCATTGCTTCCCTGCTCTTCAGCAAGTCTCTTATTGGAGAAAACATGCCAACCAACAAGACTAGCAGATGGCAGGAAGCAGTTCACCCAGGGCAGGGAGTGGTGAGAGAGGGAACCTTCCAGTGTCAGTTTCTCTCTGTCTTGGTGGAGGTTTGCTACTTGGAGGCAGATGGGGAAAGAGTAAAAGCACGGTGTGTCCTGGTGAGCGAAAGGTCTGAGTGAAGGCCCCAGCTGCTGCTACCCTGGATCACATTACTGCTGTCCTTCCCTCGCACCCCCCAACTTTCCAGGCAATGGTCCCGCATGAATATAGAGTTCGAGTTCAGGTCCACTTTGCCATGGGGACTGGGAGGGGCAGGAACAAATCCACCAGTGTTCTTTGTCCCGGGATTTCTCCAAGGCCTGGCCAAGAGTTCTCAGAAATTAGTTGCAATCTGAGACTTCCTAACTAACCTGTCTTTAACTCCTTTCAAAATAGATCGAGTATATCCACAGTTCCCAACACACAGTAGGCCTAACAAGTATGTGTGGTGTATTACTGAGCGACACCCAAAAGATGCCAGTTTGAAATTTGCTGCTCAGCCTTTCTGGGCACTTCTGCATGAAGCCCCCTTTAATAAGGGGTTGCCCCTGTTTTGTTGTAGGTTTTATGGAGAACCTAGACTCACATGAGGAGGGGGTGACTCCCTTTATTAGGGCAAAATGGCTTTTTAATTTTAATTTTACTTTTAACATTCATTTTTATTTAATTAAAAACTACACACAGAGAGGAGAGAGAGAGATCTTCCATTTGCAGTTATTCCTCAAATGGTCCCACTACCAGTGCTGATCCAAGTTGAAGCCAGGAGCCAGGATCCTTGTTTGTCACGTGGTTGCAAGCACCCTAGCACTGGGGCCATCTTTTGCTGATCTACCAGGCACATTGTAAGGGAGCTAAAATGAAAGTGGAGCAGCCAGGACCAGGACTAGTGTACCTATGGGTTGTCAGTGTTGAATATGGCAGCTTTAGCCACTATTTTACAACACAAGCTCCATGAGTTTTAATTTTTTTCAGTTGAAAAAGTAAATAGGTACTTGCATTTGTGAGTTCAATCACAACAATAAAAAATAAACAGTATGAGAACATCTAATTTTCTCTCTTCTGCATGTGTTTTCATGCCTATTTTTAGGTGACATTCAAAGACAATATTTCCCTCAAAATGAAGGCAGTGAAGAGAAGAGGCTCATAAAGGTGAAATCTGGAGGGATCTAGAGGCAGGTGCTGATTCATTCTGTGCCTCAAAAAGTGAATTAGAGGGACGTGCCCTTTTGCTTGTCTGCTTGGTTCAAGAACATTCTCAACTTGACTGTGTCTTAGTAACAGGACATTCATGGAACTTTTTTTTTTTTTTTAAGAAAAAGACTAGTTTTGTGAGAAGCAAACTCCTATGTGGTGATTTCAGGAGGTGAACAGAGCAATGCTCATGGGGTAACACCTTAAAGCAACTTGGGAAGGAACACAGACAGGGAGAGAAATTGAGTGATACTGCAGGAGAGGTAAAATACACCCCACTGGGAATTACAGAGCTTTTTAAACATATGCCTTCTGATGGCCTGTCTTAGGGAAAGTGGCTGAGTCTTACTATTTCTGCACAAGCAAGTGGGGTTGTGAAGCAAAAGACAGTTCCTGTTGGGACACCACTGTGGGTCATCATTCAGACAGGGAAATTACTGTTCCCTTCAGAAGGAATGATTAGAGAGCATCAAAATCATCTAAAAAAATCAGAAACTTACTAATGCACCAGGTAGTTTTTGAGAGTGTGCCCAGATTTATACTTGGCATTTGTCTCCACTCACCAGGCCCTTGTTTACACCAAGAGCACAGTCCAATGCAATAGGGGTGGAGACAGACAGCCAAGGGTTACAAGTGCTCTATGGCAAGAGCCAGGCCACAGGCACTGGTGCAGGAACTCAATGGAAAAGTAGCTTTCCTAGTTTAGTGTGTCAATAAAGTTTTCCCAGAGGCAGCAGCACTGGAAGAGTCATTGAAAGTTACTCAGGTTGGGGGCTGGGGAGAGTGATCCCCAAGAAGAGGCAGCAGTGGTTTTCAAGCTTCAAGCTGACATAGAGGATGTGCTGGAGAAGCTGAGCTCAACGTGCTGTGGTCATGGGCATGCATACGTGTGTTTACATGCGTCAGCAGCGAAGGCAGAGGCCGGTTTGAAATGACAACTGGAATTTGTGATAAGGAGCTTAGGTCTCTGTTCTGCCTTCCCCTGCATTTATCCATGACTCTTCTCTTTTTGTGTCCCAACTCTGCCTCCTTCCTTTTGTCTTCACCCAATTTGAAAATGCTGCTTGCTGAGCAGCAGTGGAGCTCTGGTGCTAGGTCTCTTGTTGAAAGGAGACTACCACACTGAAAGTGCTGAGAGGAACTGACTCTGGGCGAGTGCAGAAGCCCGAGGTGCCCAGGTGCCCAGGTGCTGTAAGAAGTTGCCATCTGAGCAGCACAGTTGAAGCTACCAGAATCTTGAAGAAGGTAACTTAACTGACATGGTGACTTAATCAAACCATGTTAAATGGGGCTCACTTCATAACCCCCTGGAAAAATTACCAAAGATCCTTTCTCCTGATCCGTATGGCTTTAAATCCCCTACTCTCTCCGATGATAAATGTCCAACTCACGGATATAGCCCTTTGGATCCCAAGATGCTAAAATGGGAGGTTTTACTTAACCACTTTCTAAGAGTTTTCCTGTTTGGGGCCATGGAAGATTTGGTACCAAATAGGTAAAATCTTAGGAAAAAAAAGGGGGAGGGTCATTTTTCTTCCTGGGAAAGCTAAGAGTATCTAATACATACACATATGGATTGTCTCCTATCTTCCCGACTCTTGGGGTTCCCCTGACTCTGCAACTGCATGCAAACTCAGCTTTGTCATGAACTCTCTTCATTTCAGCAAGAGCCGCTAATTCTCTTGCCTGTGGCTCTTGTCCTTCATTTTATTTCAGAGATTTCCACTCACTGCTGAGACAAATTTAATATCTTCTAGGAAAAGTCATCTGAGGCCCCCTAACCACTTTCATTTATGACTATCCAACCAGAGGAAAAAACAATTATATTCCTTCAAAGGATTTTTTTCTTTAAAAAAGCTCTTAGTCAGAAATCATCTTCAAAAAGCCCATTCTTTCCCAAAGGACTCATTGATAGTGACAGTTTTGTCTGAAGAAAGAAAGCTCGTGCTTACATAGCTTTAAAGCTGATGAAAATATTGGTGGTGCGAGAGGTACTTAGGGCAAATCCCCACCGTGTACCCCTCTGTTCATTATTTCTATGTAGTTTAGCACACTCGTTTTCTTTTATGAACCTAATGCATTATTTACAACCTGCGGTATAGTCTTGTCTCCAAGAATAATTATAATTTGTTTCAAAGAATAGCCCTTAAGAATATCATTTGCTTTTATTTTTTTAATGAAGGTTAATGAATTTTATATACTGTTCTTTGGATTCTTTTCCAGTAGGAATTCTTATAGCAACCATAAAGCTCACATAGCCCAGAGGAAATGGGCTTACCAGTGTTAAGAAATGCACTCCATCCACGGGCAGATGAAATCCAATTCCCAGAGTTTTGATGATCACTAGGATATTAAGTAAATTTTCCCTGGAAGAAATGACCAGAATGTAAAGGTCACACATTTCAGTGACATAAACCGATACTGGGGGATTCTTGTAAAATATGATGTCACATATATGGCTAAATCCTCACTTTACCAATTTGACATATATTAGATTTTCTCTGGATAGAACTTATATGTCAGGGAACTGTTTTGATCTATGGTGAATATAAATTTGGGTCCTGAAGAACTGTGTTGTGACTAGATATGAAGGTATTTTGGAGCATTTTATACTAGAGTTTAAGCAATTTTAAATTACAAGTTGTCCTTCAAAAAAATCTGGACAAAATTCAGCCATATCAGGAGAATTCATTTTTAAATTCAGAATGCTAATGAAAGCATCATTGCAGAAATTCACCTCTTCAAAACCTTGTGAATAATTTGCAGGTGATTGGAATTGAGCCACTGAACACCACCAACAACCAGTACAGTCTGGCCCGTATTCTCCAGGGGACGTGATCTGAAATCCAGAAAGAAAAACAACACATGTTGCCTTGAAACAGATGGTAAACATTTTAACTGCATTGCCTCACATTTCATTGAACCATATCTGGCTTCCTGATCACAGGGCCTCCTTGTCATTTCCAACTCATTTTCAGCCACATTACTTGGAGTCTAAACTTTTCAGCACATTTGATATACTGTGAGCAATTGTGACTACCAGGCATCCACCAATCAGTGCAGTGTGGCATTGTGCCTTCATAATGCTTCCATTGTACCTTTGTAAGAGATGTTCAAGCGCTTTTTCAAATGTCGGTCTCAAGGAAGGGCTTATCCAGAACTGAGGGTAGTAAGAATAACTGATGAAGGTCTCCCCACCATTGACGTTGTGATACAATTTAGTGCTGTGCACTTTCTGCCACTCCTGCAATGTTTCATTCACTCTTTCAATCAGATAGTACATGATGCCTCTATTGGTTGAATCGCCAATGAAAAGAATCTGTAAATTAAAGAAAAAACATGTTCTGAGATCTGATACTTACACGGTTCAGGAAGTAGTCTAAAATAAATAAATCGTGAATTCCCAAAGAGCTATGCGTCTAATTGTTTGACACTCTGTTAGAAATTGCATTCACTATGTTCTCCTTTCAAATGCTTTTTTTCTGGTTTTCACTTTCCTGGTGATGACACTATCAATACCTCTGGTTCCAAGCTGTTTTGTGTTTTATGTTGTCTTTAACGCCTTCATTTTCCTTATGCTGTTCAATTTCTCATCTAATCAGCCCAACAAATTGTATTGTTTCAAATAAGCACGGAGCACTCTCGTGCTTTTAGGATACTTAGGGATTTGTCCAATCTCTGTATTTTATGATTGTGAAAACTGAGCATCTACAGAAGTATCTCTACAGAACTCATGCCACCACGTGGGGAAAGAGCCATCAGATTAGAATCTACTTATTTTCTGAGCAGCAGTTTATGTCCAAAAATGCGTATTCCAGCGCTACCGGCTCTCCAGAGAAACCCCTTCCATGGTGAGCCCTTGCACACTGCCACCAGCACAGCTTGCTCCATGCCCTCATTTCCTCAAAGCTGCCCTGCAGTGATGTTTTCCCAGTGGGTGTCCTCTAATTTATCCCACCGATAGTACTGATGGAACACATTTTCTACTAGTTAGGACTTACTATCTTAATTAGATATTCAACAATTTTATTGGTGCTTCTTTTCCTATAGAATTAAGTCTAAACTACTTCATTTAAGATAATATTTACTGGATTTTTATTGCATATCAGGTTTGGCTGGGTGAAAGATTTAATTTTTAATCTTCACAGCTGTGAGGTTTTGATCATCATTATCTCCTTTTCACAGATGAATTTGGGCTCAGGAGAACTGAGGTGATAAATCCAGCAAATGGCAAACACAGGACTCAAACCTGTGTCCTTTGAGTACAGGGTCAACAGCTCCTTCTTCTTGCTTCTCATATGAGCGTATCAGTCTTCATAATTCATCAGAACATATAAATAAGCCACACTTTAAAATTTCAACACCCATTAGTTCATTATTTGATTTGAAAACATTACTTAAAAATTTAAGGTACATTTCCTGTTTTAATACTGAAGTATTTTCTGTCAACACTTTTTGTATTCCCTTTCATAAATGCATTCTGCTTTCAGATTTCCAACCACACATTTAAATTCTGAACTGTTTTCAACTGACAAAACAATGACTTGTTTAATTTGGTTGAAGACAGCAGTTAGTTTGTTGATGTACATTTGGTTATCATATTTTTGAACTGTTTATTATTATGATTTGTGAAGCACAGAATAGAGAGAGAGGAGAAGAAAAACAGACACATGGAGAGAGTTCCCATCCGCTGGTTCATTACTCAAATGCCTGTGATGAGCAGATCTGAGCCGGACTGAAGCTGGTAGTCAGAAACTCAATTCAGCTCTCCCACATGAGTGGCAGAGACCCAAATACTTGAGCCATCACTGTTGCCCCCTAGAGCACACCTCAGCAGGAGCCAGGAGTCAAAAGTAGGAACCAGGAGTCAAACTCATTTAGGCATTGTCTTAAATGATGTCTTTTTCTTCTTCTTCTTCTTCTTTTTGCTGCTGCTTCTTATTTTTATTATTACTTCATGATACTGTTCCAAAGACTCTGGGATTTTTCGTCCCCCTCCCTAAGTCATCCCCCTCCTCTACTGATTTCCCATCTAGTATTACAATGGGTACTCCTTCATGAACAGTCATAAATCCAGCATTCCACTGTTGAAGTGTTTCCTGACATTGTAGGTATGTCAGAGTGTCCAGTTTCCTGCTGTCAGGCTATATTCAACAGTTCCACTGGGAGATCATCTTTGATCTGGATGCAGAGATGCATACTACACTGTCTCCACATCTGGACATCTAACGTCTCAAAACCAGGCCAAATGTTCAGCCCTGAGCTATTTTTTATGTGTTTCAGACTGTGATTAGAAGTTACACTCTGATAAGATTTATAAATCTTACATTCAGAGTTCATCCTGGGATGGGCATCTAGACAAATGTGTAAAGGCATACTTGCAAACATTGTTTCTTTTCTGATCAACTTTGCCTTAATTCAACATAAGCATACAGTAGAAAATCTGAATAAACAAATGAAAACCTGTGAATGAAATAAATTATGATTGGATAAAGTTAGTGCTTGGAAGGAATCCCATGTTTATCTGTCTTCCATGCACCCCAACTCGCTATTGAAATGCACCACATAAATGTTCCAAGGAAAAAGCTTATTCTGTCTTGTTGTCTTAAAGCACGCTCCATTTTTCTTTTGTTAATGTTGCTGAAATGAGGGCAAATGAGGTATGGAAGGCATGGTTCTATTCATAAGCCATTGAGTATGGTGAGGATCCTGGTCAAAGCTACCAGAAACCTGAGCCCCTTTTCAATTCTCAGCTGATGTGTATCTTGGTCCTAACCTATAGGTGGGCTTGCATTTTCAGGGATAGTCTTGGCATTCATCAATGCAAAGCAGTAGGAACAAGATGGAAAGATCATAAAACAACATAAGGAAATTCAACCGAGAGAAATGTCTGCTTGGAGATCATAAAGCAAGCTATTACAACGCTAACTTTTTAATAATTCTCAGTAGTGCAGTCAGATTGTGTTGCCTTTTGATTCTTTGGAGAAAGATAACTCAGTTTGACATGTTCCCAAAAGCTTAAGCTTGCTGTAAATGGGATTTAAAATAAACTTCTGTTTTTGTTGCAGCATCATGTTTGAACTATTTGTTCAGAGCAACAGTGAACTTTCTGGATTTTCACTTAAAAAAACTTGGATTTTCCATAGTGATTGGAAGTCTTGTGGCCAGTACTCCATTAGAAATTGTATGTTTATATAGGACTCAGCTGTAAACCAGAGAACACCCAAAAAGCAAAACCTCAGGAACCTCTCCTGAACCTTCCTAACTGGCTTGGTTCTACCCTCTGCACCAGCACTCCAAGGTCTGTTTGCTCAATAACAGGGAAATCAAAGCAAGCAGTGGGCCCCAGCAATGTGACTGTCATAGTAGTTGCATAGGGAAATGGGAAGATTCCTAGATCTTTACTTCAATCATGTCATTTCGAAGCAGTATGATTTGTTGGATTCCACTCACAATAAACACTATGGTTTTCCTGGCCACTTGGATCTCTAATAAGTTTTCCAGATTCTCCCACTCAGAGTTTAGGACCTGAAGAGGTCCCTCCGTCTCACTGTCATCCTTACACTAGATGGCAACAACCACCTCATCTTCAAGAAGTGTGTTGTATACTCCTGGGAAAGATCATTTTCTAAAAATAATAATTGATAGATTGATCAATTTTGAGATGCAGAGACTGAGAACTCTCATTCACTGACTCACTTCCTAAAGCCAGCAACAACTTGAACTGAGTTGAGGTCAAAACCGGGCACTAGGATTGGATAGCAGGTGACATTTGGCACAGCAGTTAAGCCATTGTTGGGTACACCTCCATCCCATATCAAAGTGCTTAGTTTAAGTCCATCTTCCTGCAAATGCACACCCTGAAAGGCAGCAAGTGATGGTTTACTTCTTGGGTCCATGCTACCACATGAAAAATCTAGATGGAGTTCTCAGTTCCTGGCTTCTGCCTGGTCCTACCTGAATGTTGCAAGCATTTGGAACATGAACCAACAGATGGACAATTTCTCTTAGGACTGTCCCTCTGCTAACAAGAGCGAGGACCTCAATCCATTAATGGCAGAGACCCAACTACACTTGATTCATCTTCATTGCCTTCCAGAATCTGTGTTGGCAGGAAATTGAAGCTTAGAGCTGAAGCTGGATATCATACTCTGGGACTGAGACAAAGGATGCAAATGTCTTAACCATTTGGGTTAAATATCTGGTCTCTGGAACATAGTCTTAACAAATTTTAAATGAGTAAAAGTTAAAAAGAAAGTATTCAGGTTTTAACTTTGTTAGGTGATTAGCTGGATTCTGTGCTGCGGTAACCTACTGGGAATAACTGAACTATTTATTCACAGCAACAGTGATCAGACATCTGATCTGGAGCAGGATGGTGGGCATGATGGAAGAAATACACCACTTCATCCAGGGGATCAGCATCACAGCTCACCTTCCTCCCAAGGGCTCTCCATTTTCTAAGACTGTCTTCTGTCCTTACACCAACATGAAGTGAAGGCAACATAATGTTGCTCCAGTAACATTTATTCTCTTAAATATTGGTGTGATGGCAAGAGGAGAAGCAAAATCTGTGCATAATGCATTAGAAATCAGATGTCTTTTATTTGCTGGATTTTCTGTTTTTGCAGTTGTGATGCTCTAATACTTACTTTGGGACAAAGTGGCAGTTACAGGAAATTCTAAGTTGGGTTGGAACTTATGTGTCCGAGTAATAAAAGAGAAGTGACAGGATCACTCCATATGTTTTTGTTATTCTTATGGAAAGTAAGAACTCAAAGTGTGGGGAAATTTTTCCTTTGTAACCCTATTTGTAAGTAGGGTTACTTAACCTAAGTGTTGTGTCATGGCTGTCATTATGGATGTCTTCACAATTGTCTTTGTATCGGGTAACATATGGGTGATGCACCTGACTGTGTATCGCCAAGTCCTGTGATTCTGCGTAGAAGAAAATCAATCTTTTGGCCTCTCCCTCCTATTCATTTCTGACTTGTGCAAGCTTTAAAACACAGAGGAAGTAAAGGATGCTTGCATATTGTAAAAATGAGAGTTCAGAAGTATTTAAAAAGATCTCACACATCACTGAGCATGTTTCATCACTAGTTGGTTTCAGGGGTATCTAGACAGTAGGGCCCCCTGCTTTGAAGGGCCTTGCTTGGATTACAGCTCTTCTGTTTTCCTGAAGTTCTTACAACTGGTAAACACAGGGTGGGAGAGTTCAGCCTTGCACTTGACTCCTCTCCCTTCCCTCTCTGCTTATGTACTCGTGTGTGGCAGCCTTTGGATGTATACATTGATGGATTTCTATCAAAATCTATACCTACTCTTCTTTCCCAGGCACCTTAGTAGGGAGCTGGATTGAAAGTGGAACAGCGGGGACTCAAATGGGTACGTCAAAATGGGATGCTTTGTCCCCCTCAAACTTGCATGTTGGAATTTGTCCATGAGACAGTTATTGCTTCATTGGTCTCCATTTCCTGCCCCCGACAGTAGCCTCACTTCAGTGAGAGGATCTTGCTATTGTAGTTGTGGTATTCTTCTGCTAAAATTGGAAATAATCCTCTGTTACATACAAAATAAATTAGCATCCTGTTAAGTCAGACTCCACAGATCACTGCAACGAGCTTGGAAATTTGAGTTTCTCAACCGGCAGGTCTGAGGGAGGCCACCAAGCCAGAACAAGCACTGAGATGAAGCCAGGCCCACGAAGCAGCCAGGAAAGTGATCTCTGCCAGAGTCTTCAAATCTGAACATGGACCTTTTATTTTCAGACTTTGCAACATCCTAACTTTTCTGGTGCCTGCTAGGAGTTTGTTCTTTTCCAACCACTGCGTTTTAGAGCTCCAAAAATGCAGCCTTAACACTAGCAAAGATGGTGTTACAGACTGAAAGTTTACATCCCATCTAAATTCATACATTACAACTGTCATCCTCAATGTGATGGCATCAGGAGGCGCAGCCTTTGGGGAAGGTAATTCTATCCAGAGGTAGCCATGAAGGTGGAAAGCCGTAATGGGATTTGTCTCTCTCACTCCTCCCAACTGCACCGCCATGTGAAGGCACAGCAAGAAGGAAGCCAACAAAAGCCAGAAGAAACAGAACTCTCACTAAAACCTCCCAATATTGTCAGCCTCATCTCAAACCCCTGACCTCCAGGACCGTGCAAAATCCTTGTGTGTCATTTAAGCTGTTCCTTATTCTATTACCACAGCTCAAGCTAACATGCAGGAAAGAAAGCCCTGAGATTCCTACTAATTTTTTCCTACTAATTAATTTTAACAGAGGTTAGATCTTATTCGCCCCATGATTTAAACATGAACAAAATGAGCCTGAGAAACAATATGTGTCATGTCCAAAGTCATGAAATTTAATGTTGAACTGAAATTAACATATGCTTTTCAAGTTAATAGACTGTGACATTATCTTGGGATTGTCCTGAGAACCCTGAATTTCAAGGTCAGGATGACATTTTGGGTTTAAAGAAGCCTGGCTGTTGTGGCAGGGGCATCTGCCCTGGTGCTGTTTCTGGGATATGGAAGTTGGATCATCCATGTTGATGGCAAAATATGAAGATTCAGTGGCCGGCAAAGTGAAGTAGCAAGCTAATCTTCCACCTGCAATGCTGATACCCTAAATGGGCACTGGCTTGATTCCTGGCTTATCCACTTCCAACCCAGCTTCAAGCTTATGGTCTAAAAAAAGCAGTGGAGGATGATTCAAGTACTTGGTCCCTGGAAATGTGTGGAAGACCAGGAAGAAGCTTCAGGTTCCTGACCTCAGTCCAGTCTGGCTCCAACTATTACAGTCACTTGGGGAGTGAATCAACAGATGGAAGATCTCTCTCCTTCTCTCTACAATTCTGACTTTCAAGATGCAATTTCAAACTGACAGAGCTGTGATTGGGAATAAGAAGGATTTTTCACTTGTTTTCTTGACACATACAAGTTACGATTACGCATTAAAAGTTGTTACAGCAATGAAATTATTGCAGTGAATCAAACACACACCCTTCTCTCAAGAAGCTTACATCTGATGGTTTAAGGCATAAGAAAGTGCTCAGTTGATAACACTAACAACATGCTCCTAAATAATTTTCTTCCATTTTCTTTAAAAAGTAATCTCCCTATCTTTAGAGATTCATAATCATGAAAACGGAAACACTTAGGTTGACATCACTGGGAAGATGTCCTTCCTCACTTTCTGTGACTTTCCCTAAACTGTGTGCTTACGGAAAACTCCGCAAGTATCCAGTGCTTTTCCATTAACAGAGTTTTGTAAAAACCCATTTTTTGAAATCCGCCTTAACTGTATACGAAAATAAAGTTATTTGAAAATCTGGATAAAAGTTACTTACCTGATGTTACCCAAGCACCTTGATGTGCCCATTTCACACATCCGAGAGTTCTGTCGGACTCTACCTAGACAGAGCATGCTTAGCAAGGAGGCACTGCATGTCCAAGAAATCAGCTTAGAGTCCTCGCTAAGGGAAAGACCAGCCTAGTGAGGTCCATGGGAGACCTGCCCAGGGACGTGAAAGAAGATCAGCAAGGTTAGTGTGCAGAAATAACGCCATGCTCTTGGTGAGTTCTAGCAGTGAGTCTTGCATGCAGAACCATTTGACTCCTTGCACTGAGCTGCAGATGTCTGCTTTTAAGCAGTGCCTGCTGCAACTGTAGTCAACCAGGGCAGCTGCCCAGATCTGCCAATGGTCAGCTGATGTGGTAGATCCCTGCCAACCGGTGCTGAGAACACACAAGGAATTGGGTCAGTATGGGGCAAGACTTTAAAATCCTCCCTCTGTTAAACAGATTTATGTGAGGGGAAATGAGCATTTTGAGCAAGAATTAAGGGTCTTCAATGATAACATCTGCATAGGATTGAAACAGACATATTGTATTGTTAGTTATCCCTTGAGGAGTGAGAAGATTCAACTGTATGGTACTGAGTGCTGCAGGTGATACCAGTGAAAAGCTTCCCCTGGCTGCATCCAGAACCCACCTTCCTTCCTCGGAGGCACTGCTGCAGCTGGGACTTCAGGAGGATACCATGTCGGCAGTTGTGGGGCTGCCAAGTGATTTCTCTCCAATCACAGGTCCTGTTGTCAGAACAACTAAGGCACGGCACAATCCACTGGCCTGGAATAGATGGCAAAACTTCCTTGATTCAGTTTCCATTGATGAAATTTACAGTTTGCTACTTGAGAATGCAGCCTGTGGCACACCATTACAGACACAGTAAAAGGACCACTCCTACCATAAAAATTCAGTGGGGCCATAGACACACTGCCCTTTGCCATCCACACAGAATAGCAAAAGATAGCAATGTTCTGAAATAGCACAGTTCATACAGAAATCGAGTCTTAGCTCTGCTCCAAGAAATTAATATACTAATAAAAAAATTTTAAGTGATTAGGGTGGTATTGAAATGCTGGCAACCTGTGTGTGCACCCATTTGCATATCAGATGCGATACTTCCAGTCCAGCTGCCTGACAATGCACCTGGAAACGTTGTGGAAAATGGCCCCTGTACTCATGTAGGATATCTGAATGAAGTTCCAGGCTCCTGGCTTTGGACTGGCCCAGCCTTGGACACTGCAACCATTTTGGGAGTAAGCCTCTGTTTCTCCTTGTAAATAAATAACATTTTTTTAAAAGCCCTAAATGACCACATACTACTCATTCAGTTTCCAAGTAGTGAGTGCCACAGGCACTTCAATAAGACCAAGGGAGATCGGGAACTCTCCCAACCCCAATTGGCAGCTTGCCTCATCTGTTCATCAGCCTAACATTTGCTTAGGTTACCAAGCCAGTAATAGATGCAGTATATTCTCTGTTTTCTTCTTACAATATAAGAGGAGTATTTAAATATTTTGATCATGCATTACTTTCAAGGTTAATTATTGCTGATTGATGGCTTTTTGGGTCTGAATCTTCACATACTCCTGTTTGTGGCCTCAATTTAATCACTGATTAAATGAGGTATATGTCTTTGTAGGACTGGTGTGAGGCTACAATGGGATAATGCATCTAAAGAACCTAGCACAATTGCAATACCATATTTACCTTTGGTTACCAGGAGAGATCAGACACAAAGTTAATCACAAGCTTTTGTAGATGATTATAAGTGAACAGTCTCTATGCATTTACCATTTTCCCCTTGAAATCATAAAATAACATGTGTCTGAAGCACTTCTGCTTTTAGTAAGAGTAACAGCATCAATTATTTACTGGGAAAATAAGTAATTTTATTCTTCTTCTCTGTTCGCCTTTTCAGAAACGGAGAATGAACACAGCACATTATGTAAACATACATGCAGAATGTATTTCTTTCTTCGATGACACAGTGCTATGTCTGTCAGTTCTCTTCTCTTCCCTGAAGGTCTTACATCACTGATGTGATACGTATATAGTTGGTTGGTGGGATACAAACTTTAGTGGGAAGAAATTCCACTATCAGCTGTCAGTTTTACATACATTACCACAGGCAGGTAAGAATTGTGTATGTGTTTCTGTGGAAACAATTAGAAACAATGAAATAGGAAAGAGTATACGGCTCATGGATCTTGCTCATTGACCACAGAAAGAAAAGGCATGGATATATTAAAAATCAGATGGGATAAAAAAGAAATACAAGGAAAAAGAGAGGAGGGAAGTGTACATGCCAGAGAAGGGAAGGATAGTAGCAGAAGAAGTGACTGCAGGGATGCGCTGTCAACTGGAGCAGACACACGGAATAATTGAACACTGGTAAGAGTGCTTTTGTTCCTCTTAAAATGTTTTATCTTTGCTTTGCTTTTGAAATGTAATACTTCCAGGAAACTGTCAGTCCATGTCTACTCACTACTTCGCACAGTCTCAGGAGTGATGCGTGATGCTCCTTTCCTCCTGCTACATGCTCACGCTGGAGGATTTCCATCAAATACTTACACATCTGCCCTCTTGAGCTGTCAGGTGCTGTCGACATTCAAAGATCTTATTCCTGTTAAAGATAGCTAACACTTTCACAGCGTCTTTCAGATTCAGTCTCAGTTCCTTAAATCTGCTAACATCCCCGTTGTCACCTCACGTAAAACTGTTAACATCTCTGTTATCATCTCCTTAATATTAAGTAACTTGTCCGTGACCCTCTGGCTAGGGGATGGTAGAGCCAGAGGCTGAGTTAAACAGTCTGCTTTAGGGTCCACACTCCTATCATATGAATCTTCACAGATCTATAATCCAGTTAGAGGATACACTCTGTTCATATAAAGCAACAGCATAATGATGGGTCATTTATAATTGAATCAAACTAGATCTATGTTAGTGAAACCCTGGGCTTTGGAGAGGGGCCTACCTGTGTCCTGCCTCTAATTAGCCCTGTAGACCTCGTATTAGAGTCACCTAGGAAGCCCTTTTAAAGTCCCCATATCTAATTTGCACCACAGATGTATTTCATCAAAATCTCCAGGTGTAGGGCTCAGGCAGCCACAGTGCTTAATCCTTCACAGGTGATTCCAATATGCATCTAAGGCTGCAATCTACTGTTTAAATTGAACAAATTACTTAAATCTTTTCATGATTAAATCTCCTTCTCCGTAAGGAAAATATTGTAGCACCTGCCATGATGCCTGACACTTTGCATTAATGAATGTAGTTTATTTCCCCAGTAGTCAGAGTAGTCAGAAATTTAAAAAAAAAAAAACTGTCTCTAGGGATGTCAGAGTTTTCTGGAAGGTTCCATGATGTCCATAAAATGAGAATAGGTATTTCATAAATAGGTAAGCTCTGGAGACTTGGAAAGCTTGGTACTTTCAGGACAGTAAAGATGCTGGTCCTTGGAGGAAAGGCTGAGAACTGACTGACATCCAAGTAGCCTGCCTCTATAGAAGAAAAAGAAAAGTCTAGGGGCTGAGACTGCCACCACCCCTCAAAAACATACAAAGAACATCGTAGAAGACGTGCTGGTTTCTGAATGGCCAATGGAGAGGCTGATCAGAAGTGCCCATGTTTCCCTCATTTAGAGTATGGCTTGCTCTAAAATCACATATCCTCCTCAGTATCCACAGTTCTAAGTCAACAGTTGATTTCCATCACATCTTTGATGACTTCCAATATTTGATGTAGACATCAACTAAACTTGACTCTTTGCGGATGAAGAATCTCTCAAGAAAATCTCCGAGAAAAGGCTGACTCTTTGCTTGGAGACACTGATATCAGCGAGTGTATAGGAACACCAGGAAGGAGTTAGACGCGGGCTTGGAGTGGTCACTTCTCTTGCTTTGCAGATAAGGGCAACTGAGGCCTGAAAAGTTCAGTGGCAGACATGGGGTCCTGATAAAGGTAGAAATGAGGTCCCAGAGCCTCCAGTTTGCTGATCCATTATGTCAGCTGAAAATGAAATATGATCCTTCAGCTTCTTTGGTAGAGCTTAAAGGAGCATCTATAAGCTGACTGCCATATCTTCGCCTTTTTAAAAATTGAATGTATTCAATATAGCTTGTGCATTGACAGACTACATGAAAACTAAAACTGTTCATTTGCTTACTAAGTGGAGTGACGGATTTGGAGGCCTGCGTGTGTTTCTGTGCAGTTTTATGGAACAATCCTTTGAAGAACAAAGACTGCTGAGGAGCTATTGTTAGAGGTATCCCACCCCCAGCTCAAGCACTCTCTACCCTCTAAGCAGGCTAGCAGCTAATTGGGCATAAACTGAGGGCTTTTTCTGACACCTGCTGCAGAAGATAAAAAAATAAGTTGTCAGCTGTTAGCACAAAGATCCAAACAGGGGTAGCATTGATTGTGGCCTAGCATCCCACGTGTCTCTGAAAGCCTGGTCCCAGTGACTCCTACTCCTACACCTGCGTGAACTCACGCTTCTTTGATATCAGCTAATGACCTTCATTTATTGCCCACTAGTAATACTACTTGAAATAGGCATCAGATAACATCTCTAAAACTAGGATTCTTGACATTTTAAGTGATGTTACCTCTTAACTAAAATTGTCACAAAAAAGGCATAGATCACATGCTACATATTTGCTATATTTAAACATTGTATCAAACCTGAAATCAAGTATCCTGTAAGCTTTAGGGGATAACAGAAGACTGCACCTTTCTTGTGGGTTAACTTGGTTTATAATTACAACTGTATATTAATGGAAGATAGATTTCAGCTATATAAGTAAATCATTAGAGAATATAATGGCAAAACAATGTTTAATACTATGATTTAGCATTGAACGGAATTTCTTTTAAAAAGATTATTTTCTTGTGAAAGGTAGATTTGCAGAGAGAAGCATAGATATGGAGTGAGATCTTCCACAATTCTGGGTCACTCCCCAGATGGCTGCAATGGCCAGAGCTGATCCAGAGCCAGGAGCCAGGAGCTTCTTCCGAGTCTTCCACATGGGTGCAGGAACCCAAGGACTTGAGGCATTCTATGTTGCCTTCCCAGGCCATAAGCAGGGAGCTGGATGGGATGTGGAACAGCTAGGACACAAGCTGGTGCCCATATAGTGTGCTGGCACCGCAGGTGGAGAATTAGCCCAATACACTACCTCACTGACTCCATTTGGAATTTAAAACCATGTAAATATGTGTCCTAATCCATGGCTCTATGTTGCAAAATAAATGATTTTATTGAAGAAGAAATATGCATTTTTAATATTATTCATATCAGAGTTTGAAATGTCATTTCCTTATTCAAAAGAAAACATGATGGAATCTTATATTTACATGTCATAAAGTGTAAGCTGAGCTATTTTCCTTAAAAGTAACTCTTATTCTGTGATAACCATATGTTTGTTCTTTGTTTAAATTAAAAACATTAGGATTTCTTTTTTAAGCAACAAATCAAATCTTTAATTTGCCTTCTTATAGTTAAATTATTCTCTATAGATAAAGAATTAAAACACAACTAGAGTCATTTTGAAAATTATGTTAGCTGATATTGTTGAAAAGCACATTCTGATACCATTATATTAGCAAGATGAAAAAAAAGTAGATCCGCGTTATGAATTGTAATGTGCTATGGAAATTAAACTTGGGAGTTGATCTGTGTTTGACCACACAAGCTAATCTCAAACTCTCGAATAAAGTTCCTCCCAAGGTTGTCACCATGACGATTTCTCCTTTCAACAGGAAGGTGCCTTGCTACTCAGAAAGGAAATTATTTCTGGCAGCAAACAATATATTCTTGCAAAGTGCTGTCCTCGCCTCTCTCATTAGCATTGAGTCTTTGGGCCAGTAGGATCTCTCAATGGCAACAGCTGGTCCTGAGCACTGTTTTGGCTGCTCGCAGGCTTCTGAGGGAGGACAATTTCATTCTTGGTTTTAGTTCAGCAACTATTTTTTACTCATGTGTTAGACGTTGGAAAGGGAAGTGAGTTTCAGTTGTGATAAACACGGAATTGAGGGAAGTTATCAGTAAAAATGCACTGCTTATCCTCCTGGACATATTACCACACACACAGCAACACTGCAGATACTTCTCTGTGTATTGTACTCATCAGGAGACTAGATAAAAATAAATGGCCATAGATGTTCATCTGTGCTGAATTCACTCCTGGAAAGTGCCCTGTGCTACTCCTCCCCGTTTCCGTTGCTCACAATTCCACCTGTGAAACCCCTGGCCATGGAGAAAGGAATGTAAGCAGTTACACACACTGTGTTGACGGCTCTCGTAGGAGATGAGCCCAGGGTGCTCCCAGAACATGGTAAAGCTCAAGAGGCAAGTTGGTGGAAGAGAAAGGCTTCCTGGAGCGGAAGGCACAGTGTCAGCTGAGTTCAGGTGGAGACAGGAAGAGGGTCAAAGGTGTCGGGAACAGCAAAACACTGGAGTTCTGATCAGCCCCCATCAGTAAGCCAAAGGCACATGGGACTTCTAGGAGGAGGCCAGCTGATGCAGGCTTTGGAGCATCAGCCTCTAGATTTAGGACTTGCTTTGGGGGACTCCTCCACATTGGCCTAGTGCCCCAAGTACCAAAAAGCTTTCCTGTTCCATTGAAGCCTCACAGGCAAGGCTCTGGCATACAGACATTTTCAAAACAGTTGGATAAAATAATCACAAATTTCATACATGGAATTATGTGCCACTTGTTAAGGGATTCCAGTAATGTAGCCTGAACTTTGGGTTGAAGAACTTCTGATTGATGCAGTGGGAGCAATAGGATCAAGCTGTTTCACAAGTCTCATAAATTGTCATCTGATTTAAAAAATAATAAATGTAACTGGACATGAAGGTGTCTCCTCTGTAGGGAAGAGGAGTGTGTGCATGTGTCTGTAACAGAGGATCACCAATTACACCAGCTGACACCATTACGGTATCTGTCCCCCGTGTACAGACTGCAATTTATTATCTGGACCATATGCTCAAGCACAGAGATGTGTCCGTGTTTGTTAACTGTGCATGCAAAATTGCAATTTGTCCTGCCCATTTGGGAAACTCATTTCCCATTCAAGCTGGGGTGTGAAGTTCATGGCAAGGGTAGAAAAGCTCCTGAGTGTTTTCTCAAGCTTTTGAGATGAAGGGAGGTCTGGGGTCAGCAGGGACAGAACTCAACCAGGAAGCTTCATGCTCCCTGCCCCCACTGGTCCCTCTGGAGGCATGTTCAGCCCCTGTTTTGGTTTGACTCTATTATCTCCACTGAAACAAGACTGTGGGTAAAACAAAGCAGCAAAGAATGGCAGGCTTGGCACCAGTGTTTTTGTTTCAGGTCTGCTCAGGTTTCATAAGGATTCAGCACTGTAATTTGAATTTGATGTTACAATTTTTCTGACTCTATTGATGTTCAACCTGTGGAGGCTATCCGTGATCACTCTGCTTCGCTGACTTGCAATTCATTGGTAGACAGATATCTATTTTCAACCTGGAGGTGGAGACTTTGGTATCAAGAGGATTGATGTAATGTGATCAAGTCACTCTGTTCATTGTCCTTATGGTAAGTAACTCATAATATATTTAATCACTTAAAAACGTGTAGCAAAAGCTGTAGCAGAGGAGCGCAGAGTGCTGTGAGAGGTAGGGAAGGTGGCTGGTGGCTCAAGGACTCTATCAGGCACATGTGCCTTTTGAGCTGCGATTTGTAAATCAATATGGGTCCATCAGACAAAAGGGAAAAGGAAGATTTTGACTCGTCAAATTATTTCAAAAGTCAAAACCAGACATAGACGCTAATTTTATGTTGATGTTTATATTAATGAAAAGAATGTCACTCTCCTTTTACATAAGGGCATGAGCACGTTTGAGTATTTACACATATGAAATAATTCTTTGGAGAGATGATATCAAATGTGATACTCACCTTTTGTGTCCCCAGATGGACAACTCTTTAGTTCAGGCTGTGAAATGGCTTCAATGTAGTCAGAAGAAATGGGCTGTAACCCACAGGTTTCCTCTGGATGAATCAGCAAACCACAATCCTGAAATAAAATGATAGGAATTAGTCATTGAAGTAATTAACTTCACCCATAGTCCAAATGTGAAAAGCAAGATGGTTTGTACCAGATAATCTTTATGAATAATGGAGAGCAACATCTGGCTATTGAAAACAAGTGCCAGTGGACCTAAGGGGAGACATAAACTCCAATAATAATGGAGGACTTCAACACCCTACTTTTATCAATGGACAGAAGAACTAGACAGAAAAGCAACAAAGAAACAACAGAGCTAATCTGCACTAAGAACAAACAGACCTAAAGGATACCTACAAAGCACTTCATCCTTCAGTTGCAGAATACATATTCTTTTCATTCATGCATAGAATTTGTATGCTAGGCCGTAGAGCAAATCTCAGCACATTCAGAAACATTTAAACTATGCTTTATACCTTTTCTGATGAGAATGGAATGAAGCTGGAAATAAACAACTTAAGGAACTCTAGGTAGTATGCAAACATATGCAGACTGAACAACATACTACACTACTGAATGAAAAATGGGTTATAGAAGAACTCAAACAGGAAATTAAAAATTGCTGGAAATGAATGAAGATTACAGCACAATGTATGAAAGCTTCTGGCATACATCAAAGGCAGTGCTGAAGGAAGTTCATAGCAATTAGTGCTGTAAAAAATCAGAAGAGCATCACATAAATGCTCTACCAATGGATCTCAACAACTGGAAAAGCAGCAGTGAATCAAAATCAAAGTTAGTGTGAAGAAACATAAATGAAATTAGAGAGGAAATAAATAAACTTGATCACGCCCCTCCCCTAAAATCCCTGACACAAAATAATAGTGAATTGATGAGCTGGATTTTTTTTTTTTTTTTTTTTTGGCAAACGACATTGATATACCATTAGCCCAAATAACCGTTAAACAAAAAAGAGAGAAGTCTCAGATAGATAAAATCAGACATGAAAAAGGAGATAGAACGGACACCACAAATATATTAAGAATCACCAGAAATTACTTCAAACAGCTGTGCTGCAACAAACAGAAAAATACAAAAGAAATAGATAGATGTTGGGACACATATAAGGTACCAAAACTGAGTCATGATGACATATAGAAAACCTAAATATACCAATAATTAAGGTAGGGACTGAGTCAGTAATAAAGATACCTCCTTCCCCCAAAATATAAAGCCCAGGAATAGATCTCTACACTGCCGAATTCAAATATGTGTTTATATGTACACATACAGAGCTTTAAATTATTTATTGAGAGGTACAGAGCTTGCTTCCACAGGCCAATTCATTCTCTCTTTTTTTAAAGGTTTTTATTTATTTATATTGGAAAGGCAGAGTTACAGAAAGATCTTCTATATGCTGGTTCACTCCCTAAATGGCTGTGACAACTAGAACTGATCCAATCCAAATGCAGGCTCCAAGAGCTTCTTCTGGGTCTCTCATGTGGATGCAGGGTCCCAAGGCTTTGGGCCATGCTCCACTGCTTTTTCAAGCCATAAGCAGTGATTTGGATGGAAATTGGAGCAGCTGGGACATAAACTGGCACTTGCAGGTGAAGGATTAGCCAACCGAGCCATCACACCAGCCCCTACACTACTAAATGCTATCAAACTTTTAAAGACCAAGTTATAACTTTTCTCAAACTCTTTTGAAAACAATTAAAATGAAGGAACTCCTCGCAAACTCTTTCTATGAGGTCAGCCTAACCTTAAACAATACAACACAGAGAAATATAGATCAATATGTCTGGTGCAAAAATCCTCAACAAAATACTAGCTAACTGAATTCAAATACACACCAGAAAGCTCATATACCCAAGCCAAGTGGAATTTGTCCCACAAAATTGGCAATTGGCCTAATCTATGTATTAGCATAACATTGTATGGATGGGTGCTCAAAGAAACAACATTCATGTACGTTTCCTGCTCTCCAGAGCTCTAAGCCATAGGAGAAGCATTTCAGTATTTTGGTTATGTATTACCTTCAAGGCTAGGTAATATTCCTTAATTTGATTGATGAACCTCTCAATGTGATTTTTTTAAAGATTTATTTATTTTTATTGCAAAGTCAGATGTACAGAGAGGAGGAGAGACAGAGAGGAAGATTTTCTGTCCAATGATTCACTCCCCAAGTGACCACAATGACTGGTGCTGCACTGATCTGAAGCCAGAAGCCAGGAGTCTCCTCCAGGTCTCCCATGCAGGTGGAATTTGCATCCTGTGTTCGTTGGGGCTTTTTGTTGTTATTGCCATTTTTGCTGCTATTATTCAAGTCTTTAAATATGGAAGGTACCATTTCAATACCGCCTGAGAATCCCTTGGCAAGAATTTTGGGCCAATTGCCTAACTTGTTGCTAGAAGTCCATAGCCAAGAAATTTGGTAATACTGCATGGCTTCTATGTGCATTGCAGTCTAAAACATGAGAAGTCCCAGGGGTTTTCTCCATCTCTTGAAGCCAACTGTGATTCCCCACGGGAGCTCCTGGCACGACTGAGGAAAGAGAACAGGAGTCACAAGAACAATACAGCAAGCTGTAAGAAACCTCTTCATTTTCCTGTCTCATGGCACGTGTTCTAAATGTCTCATTTGTGTGTACATGTTGAGCGTTGCATGTACTTGGTAAAACAAATCCCTGAAAAACTCTGTTTTAATTAAGTTACAGATAAGTGAGCACTCACATAAAGTTTATTAAATTATCATTAATACCTTTTAGTTTACATAGCTTACATAAACTATCATAAACAAGCTGCTCTTCATTTGTTGATAACATAAAAATATCTTTAAATCTGTGAATGTGTTTGTGCCTGGGTGTCCTAGACAAGGTAGCTTTACATATGTGTACATTAGATGCTTAAGATTATAAATTTAAGAACAAATAAATGGATTCCATGTGTACAGTATAAGAATTCAGCTATTCAATGATGACTATGCTTGTCTGATATCGTAGATTTTACAAGTAATCTATGTAAATTGGATACATTTAAATGACACAAATGTTTTTAGAGCTTTTGATATCTTTGACAAGCCTTCTTAGAACAAGTTTAATTAATCTTTTGACCCTGAGATTTCCATGGCCCCAGGAAGGCCTCAAAGGATATATCTCTCCTCTTGAAGAGATAATAGCCAATTAGGACCACTTGGCTTGAGGTTATTTTTATATTGAAAATGTTATTTATATAAGGTCTAAAGGCTATAGAACATTAACAGCCTGATGTCCCTGATTTAATGACATCAGTCATGATTTATTTTGAAAATAAAAAGAACCGGGGGGCCTATGTAACATACCCTCCCATCACAAGCTCAGAGGCCTGAAAGGGTTAAAATAGTCTGTAATATTTTGCTGTGCTTAATGAAAATGACTAAATCTTCTTTTTAATTGCTGAATTGTCAGCCAAATTTTAAATGTGATGATTTAAGTCTTTAGTCATCCAAACGTCTGTTTCTCTTCTAGAAAAGCAATCCAAGAATGTTCTACATACATGTTTCTGACAAAAGATCAATGGACTAACTAAGATATTTGAGAACTCAAAAATTAATGTTCAGGAAGCTGTTAATATAGACCAAATAAGACAAAATTTAATTTCATGAGTTCCAATGGTTTAACTAATCAAGTATGTTGTGCTCTATTAACTTTCACTTTGTCATCTACATGCTCCTGAGATTTCTAGGGTTTGCAGTACTTGTAGAAATGTTTTGTAAGGAGTGATAAAAACATCTATCTGTTCGCTACATTGTTCCAAAATTAAACAACCAGTTATGAGTAATTTTGGTATTGATGCCACTGTGGTTATTTATAGAAATTCATTCAGGATCTGTTCTCCTCATAATAGGCATATGATTGAAAACATTGGCATGTCGAAAAACATACAGCAAATATCTGATGTCAAGGATTCCCAGCTTCTCAGGGAGTAAATAAGATTATTACTTATACAAAACAAAGCCCGTGCCTGTCATTTATGCTGATGATGCAGTTTGTCACGCTTCGTTTTGAACCTTTGATGGGGAGAATCGTTAGAAGGCACCTACTGCTCCAATTGTCATGATCTGTGATTGTCCTCCCATCTCATGTAAACTGCTCATGTTGACGTCTTTTCATTTAGTTGCTACTATGGCCATTGCGTATGCTCCTTCTTAGCTACATCGGTTGTTGCTTTTTAAAAAATTTGTTCATTTCTGCTGTTGTTGGAAACTTTATTTAATGGAGCGGCAAGCCTTTGACCATAATGTAACATAAAAATGTTATCTCAAAAATTTAAAATGATTGGAAACTATAGCAAAAAAAAAAAACCCAAAAAACAAAAAACAAAAAACAAAAAAAACACCTCTAATTCTGACTCTATTTGGCTTACTAACTTTGAGTCTTCCAAATTTGAGATTGTGATATGGTAAATATATTTTTGATGTACTTATGTGATCATCCAACTATCATATGTCTTCTATTAGATTGTAACTCTGTTCATTATTTTTAAGCTAAAATTTGATTTGTTGATCCTATTGGCTAAAGTCCTCGCCTTGCATGAGCTGCGATCTCATGTGAGTGCCAGTTTATGTCCCAAATGATCCACTTCCTGTCCAGCTCCCTGCTTGTGGCCTGGGAAAGCAGCTGAGGATGGCCCAAAGCCTTGGTACCTGGTACCTGTGTGGATGACCTGGAAGAGGCTGCTGGCTCCTGATCAGGTCAGCCACTTGGGGAGTGAACCAGTAGATGAAGGATCCTTCTCTCTGTCTTTTTCTCTGCAATGACTTTCCAATAAAAAAGAAATAAATCTTAAAAAAAAAAACCACCTTGATTTGTTGTACTCTTGTTGGTTTTAAGTTTTATGGTTTTGCTTGTCAGAATTCTGCAGAAGAACAATGACCAACATGACAATTCTGGACTGGCATTTTGAAATGATGGCTCTCACCTGCATAACAGATCAGGTCAATTTAAACATTAGATTTCAGATAAAGTTTGTCTAAAGACTCTGTCTTCTTAAACTGTTTTTGTTGCTTAAATATGTGCCTAAACGAA